TAATGAAGACGGGTGTCGTGAGGAGAATATTAAGCTAAACCGGGAGAAATTTTTTTTGAATTGTAAACAGATTCCATTTTTTGGACATTTGTTAACCCATGAAGGTCTTAAGCCTGATCCAGCCAAGGTTAAAGCTATTACTGAAATGCAACAACCTGATGATGTGCCTGGTGTTCAACGTATCATGGGAATGGTAAAATATTTATCAAGATTTCTTAATGGATTATCTGAAGTCTGTGAGCCGATCAGACGACTGACTCACAAGGATGTCCCATGGTCATGGGGTGAGGAACAAGATATTTCATTTCAAAAGATGAAAGATGCAGTCACTTCTGCTCCTATCCTTAAATACTTTGATCCAGAATCTCCAACTGAGGGTCAAGGTGATGCCTCATCGAAGGGATTGGGATTCGCATTGTTGCAGGGAGATCAACCAATCACTTAATCTAGTCGCACCCTGACCAAGGCAGAGGAAAAGTATTCTCAAATAGAGAAAGAGTTACTTGCTCTGGTATTTGGAATGGAGAGGAATCACCAATATGTATATGGTCGGAAAGTAGTATTATGGACTGACCACAAACCCCTAGTTACAATTTACAAGAAGTCTTTACATCTTACACCACGTCGCCTTCAAAGACTATTGTTACGTCTTCAAAACTATGATGTTATCATACAGTATAAAAGTGGAACAGAGATGTACCTAGCCGACACTTTGTCTAGAGCTTCAATACAGAACGATGGTATAATCTCAGAGGCTGAAAGAGATGTCGAAAGTGTCAACATGTTGGACTACTTGCCAATGTCTGAACCTCAAGTTGAGGAAATCAAGAAGGAAACTTCAGAGGATCAAGTCCTACTGTCCCTCAAGGACATTATCTTGAAAGGATGGCCAGATAGCAGTCCCAGTCTGCCGGAATATTTGAGAGTTAACTATCCCAGCCGGGATGGGTTGGCCTTTCAGGATGGCATAATTTATAAAGGTTACAGGTGTATTGTGCCTGCAAGTCTGCGCCAAAAGATTCGAACCAAATTACACAATTCACATACTGGTATACAGTCATGCCTTAGACGAGCCCGTGAAGTAGTGTATTGGCCTGGGATGAACAAGGATTTGGCAGATTACATCTCTAAATGTGAAACTTGCAATACCTTTCAAAATAAGCAACAAAAAGAGCCAATCATATGTCGAGATGTTGAAATAAGAGCTTGGGAAGCTGTGGCTTCAGATATATTTACCTTCAAAAATAAGGACTATCTGTGCACGGTTGATTACTTCTGGAATTACTTTGAAATTGACCGCCTGTATGAAAAAACTGCATCTGAAGTAATAAAGAAAACAAAGAGGATATGTGCCACTCACGGAATTCCAGATCGCTTTTACAGTGACAACATGCCGTACAGCTCAAAAGAATTCCGACAGTTTGCAAGCCAGTATTCCTTTGAGCACATTACCAGCTCACCAGAATATGCTAAAAGTAATGGAAAGGCTGAAAATGCTGTCAAAATAGCAAAGATGCTCATGAAAAAAGCTCAAGATAGTGTTTCTACTCATCACTACTCGACTGGCGAAATACACCAAGTGAAATATTGGGAACTTCACCTGCTCAAAGATTATTCAATCGCCGAACTAGAACCACCATACCAACTGCCAGAAAATTGTTAGATCCAGAGTTCCCTGTATGTGTCAAACAGAAACTGTTCAATAGAAAACTTAAACAGTCGCGGAATTACAACAAATGTGTTAAAGAGCTACCTCAACTTAAATCTGGTGACATCGTTAGAATTCAACCTTCAACCCATGATAAAGGAAAAAGATGGACCAAAGCCAGAGTTGAACAGCAAGTTGATATTAGGTCATACGATGTTAGAACAGAAGATGGAAGAGTCTATAGGAGGAATCGGAAATATCTTAAAACCTCATCTGAATCATTTAACCCATCTTTTACTCCTGTAATACAGCCGGAACCAACCCCATCAAGATCACCGTCAGAAGTCTCAAAATCAACTTCTAGTAAACATTCAAAGCCGTGTGTCACCGAATCCTGTAATAACTCCTACAAGGAATGAGACCCAACCGGTATTACCTGTACCATCCACAAGTGTGTCTACGCATAGTGGAAGAGTTGTCAAAACACCTAAGTACCTCAGAGATTATTCAAAGTTATAAGTCAGATTTGTGTGGTATTATCTGAGAAAATTAAATATATATATAATTAAAAAATCAGTAGTAATTGAAATAGTGGCTATATTTCTGTTATTTTCTTAAAGTTCATGCATGCTCAACTAAAATTGTGATATATTTTAGTGTGTATCATCTTAAAATCTATTATCTAACCTGTCATAAGTGTTCACAGTGTGTTTGAACTTTATTTGAAGGTCATTCATATATTTCAATGTGCTAAACATATTCAGGACATATCCAGTGAAGTAAATATACTGACTTTAAAAAGTTCACTTTATTTTATAAATAAGACAATTTTATTTTAGAAGGAAAGGTGTAACGATATCCCTATTCCAATGTCCATCCGTGTTTAAAACAAACCAGCTTGTACTTCCTGTAGTCTTGCACACTTTGTCGTGTATATCCTGCCCGCACGTTTTTCGTATGCTATGAGTATGAATAAAGTCTAGTAAAAGCACACATAAGTATGAAGTTTATTACTGCTACTTATTTGAGTAGCGATACTGACGTTGTGGTCGTACTTCTTGACTAGGCATAACGTTACATTGGCCATCTTCAGTCTTCGAAATTAAGAATTTTCTACCACGGGACAAAAAAATGAAAAATGCCGTGGCAGAATGGTACTGCTACGGCACCACAGCATTTTTTGTTGTATATCAAAATCACTACTTTTCTGAACTTTTCAAGATGGATAAAAAAATTTTATTATAGGGCCTACACATGATAACAAAACTAATATGAGTGGTATTACATATACCATTGTAGTTATTTACTGTAGTTTTACAATAATGAAAATTCTGCAAATTAATTTACTAAAAACGAAAACAACTGTTCAAAAAGCCTTTCATAGTCTTTTTATCATCTTTATTACAGTAGTACCCATAACCCATTTATCGATTCATCTCATTACATTTCCACGAATACGTTGATGTGGAAAATACGCCGGTACAGGCCCATCTGTGGCACTGGCATTCATAACGGATTTTGGACTGCCATATACTTCACGGCATACTTTACAGTAAATACGTTTAACGACATTACTGTTGTTGGATTCTAACTCACAACCAATGCTATCTAGTTTCCAGTTATCGACGATTTTTTTTCTAATCCCCATTATTTATGTAATAAAAACTGATGAGAATTAAGAGTGAGACGGCATCGATGCCAGACGAGTGTCAAAAAGAGTGGAGGAAGTAAGTTATGTGTATCCATATGCGCGAAAAGTTTGTGAAATGAATTTAAAATTTATTGTTTGTTTGGCATATTGTTGTTTCGACGCTAAAACACATCTATTTTATGTAATTTTGGTTTGAAAGAATAGCAAGAAAATAAATATTGTGAATTTTTACACTCCGTTACATAGGGCGTAGTAATTATAAACAAAGGACGTGAATCGGTCTAGGTCCTTCGTATGTGACAAACGATATACAGTTAAAAATACAAATGACAAGAATGGTAACATTGTTCATGCATTAGCCAGAGTAACTAGGCAACAGTCCGTGCACTCTATGTCTACTTCAGTTTATAATTGTTGAAAATAACACCACTGTAACGGTAAAGCATGGACATGTCTACAGCACATGGGTTAAAAGTGTACCGGTATTCGATAATTACAATATATTTGTCAGACGTTCGTCAAAATGATAAACAAATATATGACGTTATTGCACGGTCAGACGACATCCTCCTAGTACTATTCTATAACCGGTACATTTATTAGGATCATAAGATCTACCACAGCAAAAAAATATGAATTATGCCATGGCTGACGGGGGTTGCGTCGGCTTTTACCACGGTTTTGCCGTTTGCCGTGGTTAATTTCGAGTGCTGCATCTTGAATATTTAAATAATCTGCATACTCCAGATTCTGAATATATTAAAGATATATAATCCACCAAAAACCTATATTTCAATATATTACACACCTTTATAGTGAACTTTATGAGTTTCCCTCCAAAATGAGCCTCCATTATGAATTTGGCCCCCTAGCGGAATTAGCCATCACTTTTAGGAGAAATACCCAAGCTCATTGGATACAGCGGGTCGAATTCTTATAGAACCCATCTTCAAACTGAGGTTGAAGACAATCCGTCATATATTTTACCACACTAAATAACCAGAAAATGCCTCATGGTGGCCATCTTGAATATTTAAATTTCTCCAAGGGTGCCATCATCCGGATTCTGAATCTACACATACTGAAGGTATATAATCCACCAAAAAACATTAGGTAGACTATATTTCCACGCCAAGGGTTAAAATGGGGTTTGGCAACCGGACTACAATTAGATGTGTACATTGTTACTCGAACCATGGTTATCTCTAGATTCTTTGAATAGTTTCCTGCACTTCAAAATTGAAATAGCTACTTGCATACATTACAGAAATGACATGGGGTTTAACGTCCTACTCTTCTGCTCCAACTAAGCTAATGAAGACGGGCATACGCCATACAGAACGACTAGACATTGTTCTTGCCAGGCCCTCCATAAGGGAAAAACCTTGCCAGAAAATCCTGAGGAACTTTTTCGGTCAACACTGGGAGCAAATTTGAGATCATCTAGTTATCAAGCCATCGCAGCTCCCCATAACTGACATACTTCGTTATCTACCATGCATGTGTTGGCCTCTTTGGGCCCAAACTCCCATCTAATATACAATCCTTTTCTACAAGTACTACAATATAAACTAGTGGTTGCATGCTTTATAATTTTAACATCATCCAAAGATGCCATAAACAGGATTTTATTGCAGAAATGAAAATAGGGATATATTTTTAAAATATCGGGACGTAACAATTATTTGTAAACCAACCAACCTCATCATCATCAAAATATGGCTCATACCAATCCCATAAATCTGCTGGTGGTTGGGTGTACCTTTAAATCAAGAGCAGTAACTAATCAGATGAACATACTATCAAAACAGAAAGTGATCAGTGTATGATAAATTTCATAATTATTAAACTGGAAGAACCTACAAAAATTGACTGAACTTCGAAGATGATATTCAAATATCTTATTGTTATTAATATCATTGCAAAGAATAATTCAAGATCTAATAGAAGACTACTTTCATTTTTATAGGGACGTTGTCACTGAAAGAGCTGCTTTTATAGAAATACATAAAAGATTAATTTGGAAGTGAAAAATTTGATAAGTCTCACCTTATAACACGTACCTAATATACATAAAGCCGAGACCCCTGATATATGGTGAATCTGTATGTGTTAATAATCCTACTAATTGTTTTCTTGTTAGTTTTAATGTATAGAGTTTATACAAAAGACAGTAAGCACTGGACACAATACCACCAGCACCAACACCTCGTACCTAGAATAAACAAGTAATTTACTTATACAACATATCAAAAAATTTAATTAATCTTTTAGCACTTAGTACATGTAAATATTGACTCCCCCAGTTCCTTAACAAATATTAGAAAAAAAGTGATATATTTCACACCATACCATTATATCCCTGTACAGTCCAACACTGTTTGAAACTACTGCTCCAAAGACCAAACTCAAAGTGGCTGGAAAAGGGTTAACTTTTACTATTGATGGAAAAGTAGATACAGTAAGGCTGATGACCCCCGCCGAAATCCCAATACAGATGACCCATTAATTAATTGCACATATTTATCTTTTTCAAAAGTATTTAGCAATCAAACTGATTCACTATACTGTCTAAGCATCAAATGTTCATGATCAAACTCAGTCAAGCTTTTGAAGTACCTGGTAGTGAAACTATGCACTAAGTTTCATCACTCTCCATCAGTTAGACCAACTTAGAATCAGAGTTATCTTGTCCCAAAGCATTGATCAATAAAATTGCTTAGCTCTGCTTAGCCTAAGCAGAAAATTCTCATCATCGAACTTAGTCAAGTTATTGATATAATAAATCTATACACCAAGTTTCATCACTCTCACTTAATTAGAACTAAAGTTATCGTGTTCCAAAGCATCAACCAATCAAATTGCCTATCTCTGCTTACCCTAAGCAGAAAATGCCCATCTTCGAACTACATCAAGGCATTGTGTCCCAAATTTTCTTTGAAAGGCGAGAGGACAATAAATCAGCAAATCTGTCTTATAGAAACCATCAGCCAACCAGGTTTCAGTAATCTTTGTTTGACAATGCCTGACCAAATTATGCTTGAAGAATATATTTTTAAACTCAATAGATCACACATTTTGAGAAGCGTCCCATTTCAAAATTAGGAGCACAATTAAATCATGAATTATTTCCTGACAAATTATTAACTCATTCATAACAAAATATTTATCCATCACATGAAAATCAAGTAGCTACTAGTACCTTTAACCGGTTGTCGACAATCTGAGTGAGATTGCCATTTCGATAACTCATCTTATTGTTTGGATTACGGATGTCATCTCGTTAAGCCTAACTGTCAAGCTTTTAGACATTACTTACTTTAACTATACCTCAAAAACAAAGAATGCCCTCAAAATCAAATAGAATATATATCTGTAGTAACTCAAGCAATGAATTACTGTCTTAAATTTGTTGAAGAATATGCCATTGATCATTATGTGGACGAACGTAGTTGGAACTTGTTATCGGAAGATTTTACGGCAATGACAACAATGTGTTGAATATGTTTGTTCATTTTACAAATTATAAATGATAAAATATGACTATTCACAATCTGCTTTTTTTTTTTTTTTTTTAAAAATCCTCCTTAACACTTAGATAAGAGAGTTCTAAACAGCCCCCACTAAACATGACCAGGAGAGCGATTTTTAGAACACCTGCATTTTTCAAATGTCAATCCCTGGTAAACATGTAACTTACCCCTCCACACATTCCTGTTTGACCAGCTGTCTTTCTACTACCTTTCTCCCATGGTTCTAAATGTTGTACCTAATATCAATAAGAGTAGAGTAAAAATATCAAATTAAGTAACAACTAGAACTGCGTACAGTAATGATGGGTTTCACCTTGCCACGTTACCCTTGAACTTGCGTCACTTCTGGTGCCAATTTACCCTTGAACTCATGTCACTTCAGGTACCAATGAAACCGTTAAACAGATTTCCTCATAACCATTGCACACGTTATAAAATGGATGCAGAATCAACCAAATCCAGCAATATCAATTCCTATGCAGAATCAACCAAATCCAGCAATATCAATTCCATTTATACATTTGTTTCCAGGTATTTCATATGTCAAACAAGAGCATCGCTAACGCTGCAATATACGTCCACATTCCTGCTTTGATTGATATGGTACTAGTGCTGATATCAAATATTGATGCATCGCCATCGATTCGGCTGACACCGATTCGATTCTCAGTCCTTATTTGTATTATCGATGCATTGGCAAAAAATACTAATAATTAGCTTTATGTGTCTGAGGACTCTGAGGAGTTCACAAGTTCGTCCACTAGAATAAGTAACACCTTTTCAATGCGTTTTTCTGTGGGGTTTCTTATAATTCAAAATAAAACCGGTTTACCCTACGCTTCCACTATGTTTGTCTCCATTTTCCAGTGACTACAAAGACTGCGTTTGCTGGTTACGTCCCCTGGCTATCATGTCCTTTAACCCCAAGGTAAATTTCACAGTTCATTTAAATGGCCAAACGAACTATGTCAGGAGGATAATATTTCCCGGCCGGTTTTTAATGCTAGTTTTAAAACGATTCAGTCTTATTTTCTGTCATGGGCAATAGAGAATGTACTTCATAAATCCCTATAGACAGGTTTTGATACGTTCCAATAAATAATGCAAACTGTCTCTTGTAATCACCTCACACCAGTGATAGGATTTTACCCTTATATTCCGGACTTGTCCGAATCTTTTATCAAAACGCCCAAAATTGTCCGACCGGGAATATGCCCAATCGGACATCAAGACATGGTGAATAATATTCAAATTCCAAAATTAATATAGTGTACTGAGTGTATAACTACCGTGCAACATGATTATCGTTGATTAGGTAATTAAGTGATCGACTATTTATCGTGTTATATCGTCTACACATCTACCTTGATTAACTACTATTCTGCCTTGATTGGCTGACTTAATCCTTTGTCGGACAATTCATCAAATCAATCCTGAATAGAAGTCATTGCTTCTCCTTTGTCGGACGATATATCAATCCAATAAGAGTGATTATAAACTTAATCTTATTAACCCGTGATTTCTCCATTGTCTCACGTTTCAATCTCCTTTGTGTCGAACAATAACACGTAGAAATTAGTCATATATGTCACATATCCTGATAGTATATAACACCTCAAATCAACATACATTGTATCCGATAACTTGTCTGTGATATATTTTCGGTGGAAGCCGAAGTTAAATAAAGATATTTCACACATACGCATATGGCGCTTATATAGTTCAGTAATTAAAATGAAAGTACAAATCTCGCGAGACACGTGAAATTAAGAGATGTATACGTGCCGAATCCAATACGCCTAATGTCCGAGAAAAGATTCTATTTTTATGGCATATTGTCGGATTTATGATCATATTTTGAAGGGGGTTTACGTCTTTAAATAAATAAATAAACACGCTAAGAAATGTTGACGAATATTTCGATTGGACTGACATAAGTAGTTAATTGTTTTAGACGATAGCGCGTGCTACAGTCGAATGCAATTATTTAGCAGTTGGTGTCACTCACTCGTTGTATTAGAGGGTTGTTAACTACAGTTTACGGCCAAATAAATTTCGGGATGTAATTTTTTTACCTTCCGTATATAAATCGAAACAAAGTATCAGACGAATGTCGGACTTTGCTAAAAAATGTACCGACGTATGACCCGAAAAAAATGGTAATTTTGGGGGAGTTTGAAACAGATCGGCAGCAGTCAGCACGCTGCCAATCTATAGTATTACGATGTCATTTAATTTTGTAGTTACTTTAGTAACGTAAATTGTATCGGCTCTGCCTTCGATACAATTTACGCCTTCTACAATTTACGTTACTAAAGTAACTAGTAATTTTGTAGGAATATTATTGACATAAATATGAATACCTTACGGGTTTTAAACATGAAATATAACGAGGTGCACCTATTTATTTTTACATATGAATTTAAATAAATTTTGTTGACATGTGATTCTTAATTGTGTTTTGAAAACGTCTGCTTAAATTACGATAAGAGTTTTTCCACTTTATTTTCGGGAAAAAATGTACGACAAGAAATTTTTTGAAATCCCATCAGATCACTGCCTCACACACACACACCTCTCACGCCTTCACAACAAATTTGAACAATGGCTAACAAGTGTCAATTGAAGTGAATCGGACGATATTAATGTCACAATAAATAACAGTTCAGAAGAATATTGTGGATATAAATTTATTCAAATAAATCGACATTTCTAGAATAGGCCTAATGATAATGTTAGGGAAATTTATGTTTGTATCAGAAATACTAATGTTATTTCTGTAATTTTTGATTAACAAAATGGCGGCAAAAATTTCCCGATGCATTGATGCTAGAACTGATGTTTGTGTCCGAGGCATCGATGCGTAAAATTTTACTTAATATCAGCACTAAATGGTACCTTTTAAAATGAAGAGAATGAAACACTGTAACATTGGTACTGTTTAATCTAGCGTAAATAGCGTTAATTTCTAGTCTGTGCCCAATTATTCATAAATATTGTTGAATTTCGGCGAATAGTGCTCAATTTGTACTTCTATCAAATTTCAATCTCAATGTTGAATTTTGATTACAAAGCGTTTTATTAACTAGTGTTTAGTTTCTCGACACGTGTTGAATTATAAGCGTCCCGTCTAATAAGCATGACTGTTCAATAATTAGTTGGACCGTTCAATTTCCCGAGCCGTGATTAAAATCAGTCAAGGTGTCCAATTACGCAAGGTGTTAAATTTTGTTGTCAAACATCTAATTTCACGTGCGATGTTCAGATAATACGATTTGTTTAATTGTTGGTCATCGTTCAGTTTTGCAGCACAATGTTGAAATACTGTAATAAGTGTTAGTTTTAGTACTGACCTGTTGCGATACGGTGAAATATTATTTTTCAGGATTCATACGACTGCAGGTATCTGTAATGCCTGTCATTATCCGGGGATTATTTTTCAAGATCACTATACGCCGAAATTCAACAATATTTATGAATAATTGGACACAGGGTAGAAATTAACGCTATTTTACGCTAGATTAAACGGTACCAATGTTACAGTGAAATATGAAATGGCTGTAATATGACAAGAGGCAAAGAAGGCTACGCGTTGGGTCTGTTTTGCCAAATTTACAGACAAAATATTAACAAAATAGTGGGTGTGACAATGCCCCAGGGGGTTGGGGCTATGCACCAAAATAAATTGTTACTGTCTTTACGGTATAAGGAATAAATATGCATAGTTCCAAGATGATCCATTCAGAATTGCAGCCTGTAGACGATAACTACAAAGATAGGTTGCCAAGCAACAAAACATACGCCCACAGCAGCTAAATTGTCCGAGCGGTCGATAAGAGTTGTCTTATATTTTTTCATTTGAGGGACCAGGTATCGTCCAGATTTTACGAAAAAAGGAAAGAAACTAAGCTTATCATCTACAATTTAATACACGTATCCAGCTAATAGATTGGCGTCAAGAATGTGTTAAATGCCGTCAAGATTCATCAAAAACTGGCCAGTTTGTGCTACCGTGTAGATTAAAAAACACCGTTTACTTTTGACATCGATTGTCTGCTTTACGACCGTCCAGTTTCTCGGGATGAATACTACCATTTAGATTTGAAAGGGGTTTAGTTTTTAGACAAGGCCTTTATTTTCCCAGACGTTGTCAAGAAATGAACAGAGTGTTTAATTACTTAAGGCGTTTAGATTTTACGCCAAATGACCACTTTATTGAGAGCCGTCTAGTAACTTACGGGTGAGTAGTAATGCAATGCCGTTTACTTTTCATGTCTTGTAATTAGTTTGCCCAGTGTAATCTATTTAATTTCTGTCACCCAATTTTAGAAACTATGTTCAGATTTAGAATCTGAGTATAGTGTCTAAAATTCTCGAATGAATTGCATATTTGTTGAATATCGTCCATTCTTTGGTATTGCCGATGTCCGTTGGGAAAAGTCGATTTACAATGAATTGACAATTTTCCCGGCTAGATAAAACAAAAATTTTTTGTATTTAGTTACAATCTTGTTACTTATAATCTTGTTTTCTGGGTTATTTACCCGCTTCCGCAATTAATAACAACATGGTAATGCACTGACGTTTTCTCATGTTCTCTTGTCTAGTGACAGTCAATATTTTTTTTTTTCCAATTGTCAGATATATACTAGTCAAGTCGTCCACTGGTTACAGTATTGTTTTCTATCAGGTTCAGATGACAAGACTAGTTTAGCATCTTATAATACTTTTATTCTTCTTCTAACATATTATGTACAAAACTTAAGACTCCGTAATTAGCTTATGTTGAGGGAGCCATGTCCTAGCTTGGCTAGGCACGAGTGTGCCAACTCCAATACGCTCTCCCTCATTCGGTCTTGTCCCGTGCCCAGGCGCACATGGCCTTCGATCTCGTGTCCTGGCCGGACCTCTACTGTCCATTCGTTTGTTATCTGGGTTTATAAACCCTTCCAGACAAAGGAATCTTATTAGATATCTGGCTAATGTATCATGTATCATATCAGGTTTAACATTCGATACATGCTAATCAGACAAAGAAAGTTTAAATAAAACATGCCAGCAAGTTAAGAGGCGTTTTTGTGAACCGATTAGATTTGACCGATTATCTATTATAGGCATTTGTGAACCAAGTTGATTATACTAATCGTTACATTTGTGAGACGATTTAACTCAACTGATTAGGCAAATCGACCTAATCGTCCCAGGAGGTGTTTAGGCGATTAGATTTGACTTTTTC